AGATAGAGATATATACCTGCACCCACCACGCCCATAATCCTTTTATGGCAAATAAACAAACAACGTCACGGCGACTCAGTCGCGAAGGATTGCCGTGGCTAGGTAAAAAGTGCCAAAAGGGTGCAATAAACGGGGTGTTGGCCAAAAGGGTATGGTATGGTAGGGTGTATGATACGGATAGGGAAGAGTTACCCCGACAGAGCGATGTTGCACACGCGCAGTGGCATTGTTGCACACTCGGTTTTATGGGTGTGTGGTTTTAGCCCTTTGATGGGCATGATCATCCTGTTAATAGAAAGCGTGGAAACCCGTTTGCAAACCATACCTGCCTGGATAGAAATCGAACTAATCCTTTCCGCGACGAAACTGAACCCTTTTCCTGGCCCATGATCGCTGGGCCACGATGCCTAGAGAGAGAGGTGAGCGTGTCTAAGGCGATTTAATTAACGCGGTCGCAACTAAGCCACCGAATACCAGGACATGGCTTAAATCGGAACCCTTTCCTTGGACATTTCGTAGGCGTTGGCCATGCTAAAAGCCATTCGGCTACTGTTCCGAGGACGGGTTAAGGCTGCAGTAGCCTCATGATGGGCGTTATCGGAAAAGTCAGGACGAGATGGGCGATGGGCGGAAGGATTTGACTTCCAGCGAAAGGATTGCCGGTCTTAACTTTTGGAAAAACTCCAATATTTACCAAATACCAAAAGGCGTAGGAACTACACTTGGCCAGCAGTCGAAAAGTCAAGTCTGGTTTTTGGGATTTCACCAGCAAATTAACCGGCTGAGCCGGCAAAGAGGGGATCCAAAAGTCAGGAAAAGGTATTTCCGTATCGAAGGGATTAGGAAACAGAAGAGCTCCCTTTTGTTTCTTTGTAAGTCCGAAATGTTGTACTTAAGTTAGTTTTCAATCTTAAAAGATCAGAAATCTATAGAAGTATTATCCCAAAACTTCCATAAGGCAAACTTATCAAAATCTACAAAAATGTTGCAGATTTGCTCCTTTTAAAACTCAATTAAGGTAATAATATACTTTCACTTTTCCCATCCTAATACCCCAAGTTATAACAGATCTTTTTCCTATACCACACAATTTCTGGTTTATATTAAGTTTACTGTTAGATATCGCTAAAAAAAAATAAACCCGTTTTTGGCCTGTCCCCCTTTTTTCGTCAGTTGTCCGTTTTCCGCATCACGCGATCCCGCGATTCCTTCCTTCTTTTTGCCCTTAAAAAGTCGCTTGGTTGACCAACCTAAAAAATAAAAAATAATTCGCCACAAAAAACAAACGCAAAATGAAACGAAGACAACAGCCTCGATGAGAAGAAGAGGAGAGAAGTGTATTTTTGCATTGTTTTTTTACCTGTTGCTAAATTTAGAATGTCTGTCGTCGGGTATTTGCTGACGTTTGTGTCGAAAAATTAAGCCTTCTGCCGCACGAAAAATATAAAAAAAAAACCCCACCCACCGCCGACGACGCCGTTGCCGCCGAGCGACCTCTCGTCACCCCACCTCCCGTACCCCGCTCTCATTACCCTCCCTTACCAAAAATAAAATTCTGGGCAAAATGCGTCGTTACGCTTAATGAGTAATAAAATACTTTGCACAATGTGGGGGAACAAATGCCAGTGCTGTCTCACTTGCACCCAGTCAGTCCGTCTCACTCCCACTCCTCTTATCCACCCACTCGGCTTTGCCAAAAATTTACAGCGCCATTAGTTGCACAAACAACAGCATCAACGTACTTGCAGAAAAGATGTGAAGATCAGTTTGGGACTAATTTTAAAACTTTCATTAAGATTAACAGTTTTCTGTATTAAGAGGAATAAATATATAATTTCAATCCTTAAATGTATAGAATATATTTTACCGTAATTACTTATTTAAATCAGGGAATACTCTCATCAACACAGGTAACATTTTCCCTCAGTGCATTAGCAACAGCGGATCGCGCAAATGTGGCGCGCGTTTTTAACAGCGTTGGCGATTTTTATGGCGTTTTAATCGCGAGAGTGGCGCGCGCGGCTAGAAATTTATTTTCGCCGCGACCATGGAGCTCTCTCTTTCGCACTATCTCTCTGTTTGTCTCTCCCACTTTCGGGCATAACAGTCGATCCCCCTTCCTCGCCAAATACTGTTATTTTTAGTTACATGCCGCTGTTGCCGACTTACCGACTTAAAAGCGGCGCGTGGGCGTTTCTGTCGCTGTTAAAATCGCTATGTCGCTGTTAGCGAATTTCTAAGATCATTGAAAAGCTAAAAATATAGATCAATTAAGACCAGACACGGGTATTTACATAAGTAAATATGTTTAACAAGATATGTACGAGTATGGTATCTTGTTATATCGTATATAGATAACACTAATATGCTATAATCATAACATTCATATCATAATCGCATGATCATGGCATTGATAACAAGCTTAGCTTGCTTTTAATACACTTTTAAAATGAAAGCTCTGACCGCTTTTAGAATGATAATGAAAATCTCAAAAAATCAATAAATTTTCCCTTAGTTATGTGTGATTAGTTATCAGTGATCAGGGATCAGGGCTCCCAGGGTTTACGGGGAAATTTGTAGGATCTGGCGCTGTCTAATTTTAGACGCAATTAGCAATGCGCACATTTTTGTGTGCTTGCGCCTTTTCGACTATAAATTTTTGCCACAGTTTATTTTAGACGCTGCATGTGATCGGGTCCGCCAACAACAACAACAACAACAAGAGCAACAATGGGGCGTCAAATTGGGCGTTGAGCGCAAAAACAACTTTGACTGTATCTGTATCTGTAGAGATACCTCTTTGGCGGTGTATCCGTGAGATACATCCACACCTTTGGCTGTTTTTGGCCAGCAAGCATGATGTAAAACGCCGCCAACGTTTTTCCGATCTCTCGTTTTGTTTATTTTCTTGTTGCTTTTCGTTGCAATTAAATTGGCATGCACAAGTGCCGCCTCTGCCACCGCCACCGCCACTGCCTCAGCTGCTGCTGCTGCCTCAGTCTCGGTCTCAGTCTCAGTCACTGCCGACGTTGACCGCGGGCGGGCCGCCTTTTGATCGGCTGCCAAATTGTAATTGGAACGCGAAGGTGTTGTCGACGTCCGCCACTACCGCTCGTATACATATTGCCATATTGCCCCATTGCCATATTGCCGCATTGCCGGTGCATGTGTTCTCGGCATAACAACCTTCTCGGGGGACCACAAAAAGCTCAACACCAGACAGCCCTCAAAATATATCAGAAATTCCCCAAATTCTTGTGGATTTCACAAATCGTTAAGCTTGCATATTTGTTAGCCGCCTTGATTGATTTGCCCGAAAGGAATCTTATCTCTTATACTAAAAAAAAGTGACGTTATCATAGGAAACCTTATAAATATGGTAAAAACCTCATATCATTATCAGTAAGCTGCCCTTACTCATCTTCTCCAAAGTAAGCTTAATTACTTCTAATTAGTAACAGTTTCTTCTTAAAGGCTATAAGTTCTCTGACAAACTCACCATGAGTAAACCTCTAGTAAAAATCTGGTAAATACCCGTTTTAAGCCTTGATAACCTAAGCCCACCTTGACTCATCTCCCACAAAAGTAACTTAATAACTATGTAAGAACTTGTGGCTTAAAGATTTAGGTTTCCCAAACAATTTCCTGAGCAAACTTTGAGTAATAATTGGTTAGGGATATATGTCATTTCTGATTAATATTCTTCAAGAACACACGTCAGAGAGAGAGAGACGTCATTCGCAGTATTACATATTGTAACCCAGATTTCTGTCACCTCCCTAAGCGGATCTAAAGTCTCTAATCACATGCAAATTTGTAGCTGAAAATTCACAGTTCTCGGAACTATAACAATATTTTACAAATAATTAGGGGTCTAAGTAAGCAAGTAGTTACTCAAAATTTCACTTTCGTCATTCCCAAAGTTCTGTGTTTCATTTCCTTACAAATCCACAAAATATTACTCAGCTTTAAGAACAATTCCCCTTAGATTCATTCTATTAATGAATGGTTATTTTTGTGTGTATAGCAAACTTTTCCTTGTAGCGGCGTGTAATTACACCCAACCTTCGATAAATCATTACTCCAAACAACAACAAAAAAAGAACAAGAAAAAAACTGAGAAACGTGAAAAATCATCACTGCACGTAGACGCCATCAAATGGAATCTAAGCGTCGGCCGGAGCACGTGTGATCCACGCAGCCTTGCCCGTAACGATTTCCATTTCATTTAGCTCCGTCGGCTATCGATCAAAAACCAAAAGGGCGACCTTCACATAATTGCGGCGCACGGCATGGGGAATGAGTCGATTATACAGACTGGTCTGGAAAAAAATGAATCGGAGGGGGATACTATCACCACCCACTGCCCAGCAGACCAACAGACCAACAACAACAAAAACCACCCACTTCCGCCTGGCGTGCGCACACAACCTTGTGATCTTGTTTACTGTTTAGCGACCCCCGAGCGGCAGATATATAATATAAATTTATATATATATATATAGCACACAAAAAACCGAACCTGTCGCACTGGGTGGCGTCATATCGCCAGCTATTTTCACCTTCTATGGGACGTCGTCGCGTTGGCCGCATGAATCAGCACTGGCACAACCACGAACTACAAGCCACCAGAAACCACCATCGCCGCCGCCAGCAGCAGAAACACACAGCCTCTTGTGAATCCCTCACCAAAAAGCGCCGGCGATCGGCGATCGTGGGGTTTCGCAGTGTGTGATTTTCAGAAAGGAAGAAATGCCCAATTCCGGGACCCAGGGGGCGTATGAGTAACGCGGGGTATTCAAACGTACTACGTACGAGTTTAGGTACCGCTCACTAATACACAAACAAGCAGGTAGCCCATGTAGTATAGTAGCCCCTAGGTAGCCGTTAATGCCACTCGTGTATGTATGTGTATTTGTGCGGTCGTGTGGCTCGCGCTCGCGTCTCGCAGCGGCGATTTAGCCAACGAACCTGTCGATCAATCGTCATTCGTCCGCCGAGAGCCCAGCGATAAGGTAGTCCCGCTACGCTCCGCACACATCCCAGACCCAGTATATATATATATATATATATATATATATATATATCACAACGATATACCATCCCCGAAAAGCCGAACGATCGATCTTCTGCTTCGTGTCGACTCGCTTCGGTCTTTTAATCGCACTGCAGCCAGAACCTGCTGCTCATTCGCCTGCCGTAACTCGTAGCGTTCGGTTCTATCGCTCCGCTTGCAAAAACTGAAACCAAATCAAAGAGAACTCAAAGGTTTATTTTACGTACTTCTCTGCGACGCTGCGCGAAAGTGAAACCAAGTGAACTTCAAACTAAAAACTGAACAAAGAGTCAAGCAACTAGCAAGCAAAAGCTAAAGTGAACTTATATAATAAAGAGCAGCAAATCCATATTTGCTGCCAAGTGAAAACCAAACTGTGCCTCAAACTCAATAAACAATATCTGACCGAAATGGTTACCGGCGTAACAGCAGCCAACATGACCAACGTTTTGGGCACCGCCGTTGTGCCGGCCCAGCTCAAGGAGACGCCGATCAAAAGTGACCGTCGGGTAAGTGTCTTCTTTGAGAAAAACAAAAATCCCAAACACTCCTCCATCAAACCAAAAATGGATTAAATCAGAACCTCTAGAGTCATCGAAAAAAAATGGATTAAATAAGCCGAGAATTCCCTTAAATGAGAGCTGCCACCCACTTCCAGCTCGACTTGATTTTGAAACTTTGCCTGTGGGCGACTGGCCCCATCAATCCCGCTGCCCAAATGCATTTCCTTTTTAGCCATCTCCCACATGGCTGACTGTCTAAAAGAAACACTCTGAGCCAGACCAAAAACAGCCGCCGTCGGCGCGCCAACACAAAGCGAATTTATCTCGCGTCGCGTTGGTGGCATTTACTATATGGTATATATATATATATATATATGCCTACTACTACTCCGACTACACACGATTCACATCGATCCATTCATGAGTGCCGCCCAAAATTGGCTGGCGGAGCTGCCCACCAGGTCCCCGGATTCGGCTTCCACTTGGCGCGTGCGTCGCGTGGTCGCTGCAATTGTCGGTCATCAGCCGCCGTTTTTGGCCAGACTATCGACCGGTTCATTGAATTGGCCAAAAAGCTGACTTCATCCGTAGCCAAATTTGGCGACTTGTGCCCCCTTAGATTTGTTTGGCATCTTTGCATTTCCCGCTCTGACCTTGCCAATCTCTTTCTATATCTTTCTCATACCTGGCTGGTGTTTATTTATAGCCACTGGCTGTAATTTATAACCGCCAAACTATTTTTAAAATTGCCTCGCCTGAGTGGCGCTATAAATAGAGCACGCGCCGTGCGACTAAATTTGGCCGCCAGCCAGTCAATCCGTTTCCCCCAGTCCCCCAGTCCCCCAGATCCTCCTCAGACTCATCCTCCTCCTCTGCCATACACTTTATCCATCCCAATTAAAGACCCATGCAGCTTCCTCTATTTTTGGGTCGCTGCATGAGGTCAAATTAGCCATGCAAAAGCCGTGACTAATCGCTGTTTTTTCCTTTTTTCTTGCCTCTTGCAGTCGAACAAACCGATCATGGAGAAACGCCGACGCGCCCGTATTAACAACTGTCTCAATGAACTCAAGACCCTTATTCTGGATGCCACCAAGAAAGACGTAAGTATCTGACAAAAATTAGGATTAAAAAACAGAAAATTTAAAATCTTTAAAAATCAGAAAAATTATTTCTTTTTAAATCAAAATCCCTACACATTTACTAATTTTCGAATTCTTTTCTTTCTACTTTTAGCCGGCTCGCCACTCCAAGTTAGAAAAAGCCGACATTCTGGAGAAGACAGTTAAGCATCTGCAGGAGCTGCAGCGCCAGCAGGCTGCCATGCAACAGGCCGCTGATCCTAAGATTGTCAACAAATTCAAGGCCGGTTTCGCCGATTGCGTGAACGAGGTTAGCCGCTTCCCTGGCATTGAGCCTGCCCAGCGTCGTCGTCTGTTGCAGCACTTGAGCAACTGCATCAATGGCGTTAAGACAGAACTGCACCAGCAACAGCGCCAGCAGCAACAGCAGTCCATCCACGCCCAGATGTTGCCCTCGCCACCCAGCTCGCCGGAACAGGACAGCCAGCAGACAGCAGCGGCGCCCTACCTTTTCGGCCAGATCCAGCAGACGGCCAGTGGTTACTTCCTGCCCAATGGAATGCAAGTGATCCCCACCAAGTTGCCAAATGGCAGTATTGCCCTGGTCTTGCCACAGAGTCTGCCACAGCAGCAACAGTTGTTGCAGCACCAGCAGCAGCAGCAACTTGCCGCCGCAGCAGCAGCAGCAGCAGCGGTAGCAGCCCAACAGCAACCCATGTTGGTGACCATGCCCCAGCGTACCGCCAGCACCGGATCCGCCAGCTCGCACTCCTCCGCCGGATACGAGTCGGCGCCCGGTAGCAGCAGCAGTTGCAGCTATGCCCCGCCCAGTCCGGCCAACTCCAGCTATGAGCCCATGGACATCAAGCCATCGGTCATCCAGCGTGTGGTGCCCATGGAACAGCAGCCCCTGTCGCTGGTGATGAAGAAACAGATCAAGGAGGAGGAGCAGCCCTGGCGGCCCTGGTAGAGAGGGTGTCTTCATAGATAGTCGCCCCTCTATCGAATCTCCCGCTTTTAAGACTGACCCCCGAACTCATCCAACAACTCACATGCGCAGGCGTTGTGCGCATGCGCGTAGACATTTCACATCATTCGCCGGGATAACGCAAATGTTGCTTTGAAGTGCCGCAAACATGCGAATCCTTAAACGGTCCAACGGCTTCGTTGAAATAATTTCCTGACTTTGGTCTTAGAAATCCATCGACGAGGCTAAGGGCCTCCATCAGACGCACACACACACACACACACGTTGTTATAACTTATTTATTATTATTATGTAATCGATTTGAGAACGGTATTCTACCAGGACATCGCCAAACTACCTCAGTCCAAGTACTTGGTGTTGAATTGCCTCATGTATCATGTATTACTTCTTTGAATAACAGCAAATCAGCAAAAGTCTTCCATACACTCACAAAACGCAAACACGCAAAAAAGAAAAAATGAAAACACTTGAAAAGCTGAAATACTTTTTATGAAAAAGATAAACGCAAGAACATAACTCTTATATATAAATATATATATATTATATAGGATGTACATCTCCATTTAAATATAGAACTTTTTGTACCATAGCCAGCTAAGCCGCTTAGGTTTTTCTCTCGCTCTTAAGTCTAATCAAAGAATAATTATATATTTATAGAACACAAAAAACTATTCGTAAGGCCACGTGATATAGTGAACATAATGAGCTTCTAAGAAAACAAAAACAAGAATTTGATGCAAACAAAAGCAAAAAAAATCAACAACAAGAAAAGAAAAAAACAAACAAACAACATACTAAAAAGAAATAAAATTAAAAGATTCTACTAAAAATTATAAATACGCAAAACTGAATTCTTATTGGGTTGGCTTTATACATTTTTTTCCACTTTAGCTTTTGGGTGAAAGTCCATTTGACTTCTTAGAGGTCAGGCCTTTAGAATGCCGAAAAAAAGGGGGAAAAAAGTAGTGACAAGAAACTTATCGAGCCCCTCTAAGACTTATCATGGCGAATTTCGTTGCTAATTATAATGCCCATGGTGAAATTCATTCCGCTGGCGGGGATCGACGGGGAGTTCCACGATAATACAACTACGTTCTAAGGGGGCTCGATTATTGCGGTTTCTGCTAATGTAATCGGCACGACGGGTTGAAGGCTTTTCTGCGGCCAGACCGTAACGGATATATAGGCACGCCTTTATTTTCACACATCCGGACTGCAAGTCTTGATAAGAATTTCATTTTATATATATATATATATATGGTGAAATAGTTATCACAAAAAAAGTCCTTTGTTTTTCTAGTATTTCAAAATATTTGGCAATACAATCATCTATATATCCACTTGAAAATATTTTGAAATTCAAGGCAGGTTAGCTGTCATTGCAACAAAAAAGAACAAAAATACTAACGATAAGCTGACGATTCAGCAAAATACCAAATATCCAAGGGATATACATATATACCAACAAATATACCAACCGGGAAGTTGATCCGCCTTAGCTGGAACTCACTCGGATATTGCCCCTATTTAAATGATCGATAAAGCTGGGTTTACCATCATGACTACAAAGTTTTCTTTTCCCGGGAAAACCCTGTAAATTACCACTTTATTTCTGTGACTAACTAGGCTTCTTGCATAAAAGGCATACTCAATGGGGAAATTGGTTACCTACGTCGGAATCACGCCCTTCAATCCACATACTCGTACTGCCCCCACTCTAATCTAAGCAAATCCCCGGGACAATTAAGCGTCATGCTCGTGGCAAAAGTTTCCGCGAAGTCTGCGGAAAAAATACCGCATCATGCTGATAATATGAGAGCGATAAAGTGGATAAAGTAAATAAATTTGTTTTTCGTTTGCTGGATGAATCAAGTGCACAGAGCAAACAACTTTCATCACGGCTTGTTTTTCATTACAACTCGGATCTGGACATACTCTCATTCATGGGATGACTGGATGTTCACTGGCTATTCACAAAACTAACTCGTGCAGAATCAAAGTCCAGGGAAAACACTCGTAAGTATCAAATAAAGATTACACACAGCAGCTGGACAGCTGGTCGCATGTTCTGGATTCTGAAAGCTTACACTGGAATCACGCTTCGAGAAAAGTCCGATCGGGTGGACTTAAAGTGCATTTGATTAGTCACTGGGCTACTGACTTTCGGTCTATGGATGAGTCATACGTCCCTCTTCTAGCACAAATTAGCTAAAAAATGTGTACCAGTATGTCTGCCAATTTACAAAGAAACCCCCCCACTGACGACATAAAACGAGCCCATTGAGTCATCATCGTTTTGCCTTAATTTGCCAAATCTGATATTTTTGATCAACGAAGTTCAAATTAAATTTGCTAATTGGCCTCTGTTGGAAATACCTTTTCCCTGAGGTTTTTAGTTCCTTTTGAAATGCTGTTCATATATTATATTATGATATGACTAATGAAAATATGATCCAAAAACAAGGAAGCCTGATTCAGAAGTCAATGTAAATGTTTTCCATTCAACCGACAAGGAAGATACGGCTGAGTATATATTCTATATTTACAGAATGATAACCTTTTTTGCCATGACTTTTATTAATACAACACTATCTCCAACATTCCAAATGTATTAATTAAAATGATTAGTAATGGGCTGGGATGCCATTAATATGATGAAACTCAAATGCTTTAACTGAAAATGTCTAAAAAATGTTGTATTACCTATATAATTTCTTAGAAAAACTTATTTATTTAACGCAAAACATTCTTCCAATTATTTAAAGTGCTCCATATAATTCATGCATGCTACCTAATTTCCAGATCAGATCCCTGTGCAAATTGCGATTTGTATAGCTGCATTCCTTGGCCTGGGAGTCAGCATGTCGTCTGATTTTTGGTTCTGCTTGGAAGTCGGTGGTCCTTCGATTTGATCTGCCTTGGAACCGCCGCCACCAGGCACTTTGCGTAATGGATTCGCCACAGTTCCACGCAAATGAAATCGAAATTAAAGAACATCAGAGTACTGGGCTTCTCGTGGTGGGTTTCCTTGGCTTGCAATATGGTTGTAGGGTAAAACTCCAGATCTCAGGGTCTGGTGCGACATTTGAGGCTATTTCGCGACTGCGTGGAATGCCGCCAGTCGCCAGTTGTCACGTTTTGCTCTGGCAAATGACCCCAAAAGTAAAAAAGCAGAAAAAAACAAAAGCTGTTTGTTTACGACGACTCGTGTAGCATTCCGTGGAACTGTGTGCGGCATGGAGCACTTCACTTCACTTCACATCACATCATTCCACTCCACTCCACTTCATTCATGGTAATTGAAGATCGCGTTGTCGCAGAAATTTCGGCGAACTGCTGCCAAGATAAGCGGGAGTCAGAATCGCAATAGGAATAGGAGTATGCAGCTGGAAATTCGGGGAGTACGCATAAACAAGTTGAATGAACCGCGGGCCTGGGACAAGAATTTTGATGGCGACATATCTAATGCCAATTCCCCAACCCCTTCCACTTCCACATCGACAGCAACATTCATAGCTACTTCCCCCCAGACAATTGGCAATGTCAAATGCGAGCCAAGTTTAATGACTCGCGTCGACTTCTCTTGACACCCGCACTGGCTTTGTTTCCATTTTTTTGGTATATTGGTTTTTGAGCTTTGTTTTCTCTTTTCGGCCCCATGGGTTTTTGAACTCGTTTTGCGAGTCTTGATTAGAGGCGATATATGATTTTGGCGCATATGAAATGAGTGCGAGTCCCGTGCCGGGGATCTCGGAAATGTTAGGTGCTATTGAACCATACGCTGCGGTTCAAGGAGACTATCAGCCGTTGAGATTCTAGCTGCTAATAATATCTGGGCCTAAGCACAGTTACACTAAGCAAGTTGGCAAGGTCGTTTGGTCTGGTTTCGGCTGGTTTTCTGTTGGCCCGAAGACGTGCTTAGCATAGACAAACGGCGGAATCGAATTCGGTGGCTTTGACATTCAACTCGCTCTGCGATGGTTCAAGTGGCACAAATCGAGAATCACTAGCGATCACCACTCCCCACCAACCAACCCAACCAACCACTGAGCAAGGTCAGTTCTCGTTCTCTATAGTGGCTAACTAACCTAAGCTATTTTGGTTCACCTACTTTACAACCTTACACTGCGCCATTAAAAATTCTATTTACACAGCCTATCGCTGATAGGAAAGCCAACCACCTGAGCTCAGCTGGGCCACCGAATGGGAACAACCTTATCACCTTGAGAGGCACGTGACCGGGCCAATTTGGTGGTTCAATTTGGTTTGGTGGTGCCAAAGAATTTCCCTCGAGCAACCTGATCGTATGTTATTGGATATATATGTATATGTACTATATAAGGGGTTGGGGTACTGGCTTCGCTGGAATCTCCGCGGCACTTCATGTAAATAACAACGGTACTTGGATATACATACACTCCCGATCAACGGATTAGGCTCACATAATTTCGTTAAACCTATTCAGATGAACGGAAAAAACAGTAGTTCTGTTAATCTTTCAGAAAAAAAAAATCTTTCAGAAACCAAAAAAAATAAGGAATAAATAATGTCTTTTTAAAAGCCGAACTTCAGCATTTAGGTTATAATTTATAATGATTTAAGTATTAAAGAAATGCAATTATGTAAATTGGAATACTGAATCATGAACTTATTCAATTGAGCGGCAGTGTATGTGCATTTATCTTTCAAATCTGACAGCTAAACTGCCAACCGTAATGCAGAGAGAAAAATGCCTAATACTTCTTGTTACTATATTAAAACAGTTTTATCTTAAATTTATATTCATAAGGCATATCAAAACAAAGCTTAGTTTTCAGTTTTGCGTGCAAATCCAATTCCGGTATCTAAAATATTCCTTAGACATTTTAAATAGTTCCAGGAAAAAGAACCAATATCCGGTTGTGGAATGTTAATTTTTCTCAGTGTGCCCGTTTGCAATTTGATTTCTGTTTTTGTTTGTATTCTGCTTTTCGGTCGTGTTCTGCGCTGTTCGAACGCATCCACTTACAAACCTCGTGAATAGCAAACTGCAGGCCACGCAAAATATTTCACTCAACAAATACAAATATAACCGTTTATTTTGGGAAACTGAAACAAGCAATACGAAGTGGAAAAGAAAAGTAAATAAATAAATACATAAATAAATAAGGCAGCAAATACCGCAACGGAACCCACTCGAATCACGTTTTCTGTCACGCAATTTGAGTTCTTTCAATGAAACTGATTTGGAAATGGTATTGGAAATGGCGCAGTACGAGTAAAGTGGGCATATGGTCATCGTGGTGCCACACTCCCATTCCCGCCACTTCTTCACCTTTCGGCTGTTGACTTATCAAGTCAAGTCGAGTGCCGGAGAAAGAGAGAAAGATAGTGAGTTCCAGGTGTGGGTTAAGTCCAAATTGGGTAATTGAACGGGCAGCTTCTGTTTGATAGTGGTCAGCGTTTGTTATGGTCATTGTCCATATAATCTGATAAAGTGGATTTCCGATTGAGTGTTAACCACAGCACTAAACATGTCTATGAACCTAACATTCTTTGGCCTAGACTTTATCTTTGAATTGTTACTCTAATTGAGTGGTTGTAAGAAAGGTTTAGTTAGTTTGATTTGGTTAGATATCTTTAAAACAGTATTTTATAAACATTTCATATATCTAAAAACTTATTTCTCCCTTAGCAACCTTTAAAACTTCCCTCCTAAACATAAAATAGTGTTAAAGTTCCCCCATTGGCCGTCTAATCTCCTTTAAGTTTCACTTTAGTTAATGGCATTACCTAATAGCTGGCATTTTAAAAACAGGTGTCTAAGCTCCAT